CTTGTTGGAGTAGGTGTGGCCTTGTTGGAGTAGGTGTGGCTTTGTTGGAGTAGGTGTGGCTTTGTTGGAGAAAGTGTGTCATGGACAGGCTTTGATGTCTTGGATGCTCACGTCAAGCCAAGTGTGGCATTCTCTTCCTGCTGCCTGCCAACCCAGATGTAGAACCCTCAGCTCCTTCTCCAGCACCCTGTCTGCCTGCATGCTGCCATTGCTTCCCGCCATGAGATAATGGACTAAAGCTCTGAATTGTAAGCCAGCTCCAATAAAATGTTTTCCTTTATGAGGGCTGCTGTGGTCATGGCGTCTCTTTAGAGCACTAGAAACCCTAACTAAGACAGTAATTAAAACCAGCTTATCTTCTCATGGACAAACTAGCCAGTTGAGAGCAGCCTGCTCAGATGTGCTGCCCATTTGGCTCATGAGTTATCATCCCTATCTTGATGACTTGCTCACTTTTAACTATCTGCATATTAGTCTCATTTCCTCGGGAACAATCTGCACCAAGTCTCGATTTTTTTTTTATTATTTATTTATTATTTTTTGCTTTGTTGGAGGAAATTGATCAGAAGGTGTGGTTTTAATGTCCTTATTTTCTTTTCTCCCTTTTGTTCTTTCTGTGATGGAGAATTATTTCCAAAGAAAAATTACTGCAATCCAGGTAATTTTTCTAGACAAAATTACATGGGGATGGGAAGCGACATGGTAGCCAGTGTTGTATTTTCAACTATCTGGAAGGCTGGGAAGCCCAAAGGAATGGTCTATGGTTCTTCTGAAAGGAACAGAAATAAGCAGGAGCCCAAGAGTGCAAGACAGAGCAAGAGGTTCCTCCATCTTGTATTCTTGCTGAGGTTGTTTCCAGGTTTGACTACAGTCTAATCTCTTTGTGGAAAATCCCATGGAAACCTACCCAGCTCTATCTAGGAACCAAAGGTCAGGATGTCCTACTAACTTAGCCCTTGTCAAAGCTGCTTGCTTGTGCAGAACTTCCTCCAGCTAACCATTTATCTTAGCTGCCTGTTTGTGCGAAACTCCTCTCCTGGCTAACTTCTTGGCTTCTGTTAAAACCACTTGCTTCAAACTACTTACTCTGCGAAGACCCCTTTGCACTCATCAAGCAAAATGCCTGGAAGAGGTCTCTGCCCTTAAAAACACTGTGTTCAAGAAACCACTGGAATACAAACTATTCCTGGCTACTTATCTGAAGGACTTCCCAAGTCAATGCATCCCAGATACCTGAACATAAATGTTTACTACCAAGCTATGGAATCAACATAGGTGTCCATCAGCAGAATGGGTAAGACATGGTACATACATACCATGGAAGTTTTGGGTGTTGTTTTGTTTTTTCGCGACAGGGTTTCTCTGGGTAGCTTTGGAGCCTGTCCTGGAACTTGCTCTGT